TGTGAGTTCAAGGCTAGCCTGGTCTACATAGTGAGTTCCAGGACAGCTGGGGCTACAGGGAGACCCTGTCTCAAAAAGACAGAAAAAATAATAATAATAACATAACATAAAAAACCTAAAGTTTACAATGGTAGCCATTTCAAAAATCTGGCTACAGAATGAGGAAATGTTGTCCAAATCCTTACTGAACACATGCCTTGAAGGAAAAATAAACTCAGATTTTAAAAATTCTAATAGGGGCTGGAGTGATAGCTCGGTGGTTAAGAGTGCTTACTGCTCTTGTAGAGGGCCTAGTTTCAGTTCCTAGTACCCACATCAAGCAGCTCGCAACCTCCTGGGGTCTGATGCTACCTTCTGATCTGGGGATCTGATGGCACGCAAAGTACACGTAAAACTCACACAGGCACATACGTATACACATAAATTACATTTTTTAAAAGTCATAAAACCTGGAAGTTATTTGTTATCATTTAGCCAAGTTTCTTCAGGCTCATCTATTTCCTTCCTTGAACTGTAGGTCCTGTGTTTTGTCCTTTCTGTATGAATTTACCCACACCTTATTTTCTTTATACAAATATATATGCTAGACATGTATTTTTATTAAATTTTTGTGTATTTCATATAAAACATCTTAATTATCTTTATATCCCTCCCCCATTCGGACTCCCCGATAACCCTCCCACCATATTTCATGCATCCTGCCATATATGTTAAGACCTGTCAAGTCAAGTTAGTGTACCCAGATGTCCCTAAGGACACATTCATCCACTGGGGATAGTCAGCCTATCTAGAGTCTCTTGCTTAAAGAAGATCAACTCTCCCTCATCCAGCACTGATCAGCTGACAATAGCTTTTTGGCTGAGTTTGGGGCCTGCTGCCCATTTCCCCAGTTCTATGCTGGGTTTTTGTCTGCTTGAGTTTGCATGGGTCTTATGCGTGCTGATACCATTGCTGTAGGTTCATAGGAGCAAGGTCCCAGAAATCTGTAAGCCTGTTTCCATATAGTTATATTCTTCCTCCTGCGGCTCTTACAATCTTTCCACCCCCTTTTCCACAATGGTCCCTGAGCCCTGGGCAGATGAAGTTTAATACTGGAGTCTTCTTCGGTGACCCACACTCTGTAGACTCTTATTCCTACACTTTGGCCATTTGTGGCCTTTCGTGTTCATTGTCCTCTGGTGCATGAGGGAGCTTTGTTGATCAGAGTTGATAGATACATTAGTATTCTTTCTATCCCTTGTTCCAACATGTTCTGTGAGCCTTAGGTGTAGAGGTTCCATTGGAGATGTGTTTGTAGAGCAAATCACTTGTATCAATAGCAAAAATCAAAAGAGATCTAGAATCTAGGTTCTCGAAATCCTCTTCGAGGACACCTCAAAGCCCCAAAGACCTCCTTTCCACTAGGTCCCACCTCCTGAAAGTTCCATCATTTCCCAGTAGTACCCTGGGAACTAAGCCTTCAAGGGACACTGACTCAAACCATAGCAGGCCCCATCAAATAATGTGATACCCATGGACACACAATGGTAGAAAGCCATGGTCATCCACAGCCAGAGCAAAAGGAGGAGGAAAGATTGATGCAGGACCCTAGGCAGCAGCCAGAGAGGCTGATATTCTGCAGAGAACTAAAGTCATGGAAGAGAAAATCTGCCTCCAGAGTTGGAAGCAAGAATGGGGATAGAGGCAGCACTTTGAGCTCCAATTTCCCAGTCCCTCCTATTCTGTTCTTACTTTAGTCAAAACAACCTGGAAGTCAGACAGCAAGGGAGTCAGGGGACTTTGGGGCAAAAGTGTAGACAATGATGCTCGAGGGTCTCAGAAAAGAATGGCAATGTTCTGTGGGAGCCATAGCCAATCAGAAGTGACTGATCCTATCATCTGTGAGAGTGTAATTAGTTTTTATTTTTGCTGTAATTAATGACATATGACAGTAGCTAAGAGCAGAGAGTTAATGTTTTAGTTGAGTTTGTTTTTAATTTAGGAGCTGAAATAATTATTGTAATGTTAGAGGTTAAACTGGAATTCAGGAGCTAAATAGTTTGCTTTTTTTCTATTCTGTATTAACATAGACGATGAATTGTTCTGAACACCATAGTGTTGAGTGCCCTTTTTAATTAATCTCAGCATCAGGACGTTGCCTAAATTCACTTACCTTTCCTTGGTTTTCACTGAATTAGAAAGATGATGTGCTCATACAGCAGAGAATGAGGAGACCTCCCCTCTAGTGGCATTCTAAAGTCCATCAGTGATGGTTAATCCTGAATATCAATGGGCTAAGAAATGACTAGCAGATCAGTAAGCACACGTCTATGTCTGTGATGGAATTTCCAGAGATCATTACATCATGAAGGCTCTGAGCTAACCAATGGAGTATTGCTTTAACAGTTAATAATGTGATGGTCTTTAGAAGAGGTGAGAAGTAGGAAGAGAGGCTTTGTTGGAGGAAGTAAGTTATTGAGGGGAGTGTTTAGTTTGGTTTCTATTTCTCTGATGAAACATTGACCAAATATGACCTAAGGAGGAGAGGGTTTATTTGGCTTATAGCTCATAGGCCATCATCAAAGGAGGCCAAAGCAAGAACTCAAGGCAGGAACCTGAAGGTAGGGATGGAAGAAGAGACCATGAGGAATGCAGTTTACTGGCTTGCTTAGTCACGTTTGTCATACAGCCCAGGCCCACCTGCCCAGTGATGGCACTGCCCACAG